GCTAGATTATAGAAAGAAGAGAGTCATGTTGTAACTGTAGAGTAAGAGGTAAATTTATAATTGTACTTATAACTGCTATAAAGAATATTGGAAGCCAATTCTTTGTATCTTCTTTCCTTCTTTTCTAATTTTCTTTTCCTTTTTTTTACTTTTAGCTTTCTCTTTGATTTCTTTCCTTTTCTTTCCTTTTTCTTACTTTATATTACTTCATATTAGTTTTTATCTTCCTTTTTAAAAAATCTGTAATAAAATTATATATAAAAAAATAACCACAAAGGGAATGAATGGCCTCACATGAGGATGTCAAAGGCACAAAAATTGTGTACACTCATTGTCTGCCAGGGACATTTCTATCTGCATGAACACTAAGAATCAATACCAGCTGGATGGCACTTAATCAAAACAAGGAAAACAGGAACACTGAAACTTTTTTTACCCTATTTTTTGTGGTTGGAAGAAATGGGAAAGAATCTGAAATTTATTCAAATCCTTTGCTTTTTTCTGGCTGGGGGAGAAATTCCTCCCTCTCTTTGAAAGACGAATTATGTCATTTGTTGTTCATGTTTCTATAAGTGTGCTGATTTCATTTTGAAGCAAAAGCTGAATTAAGCTTTTCAACAGTTAAAAATAATTCCTTCTCTTTTTTTTTTTCCTTCTTTCTCTTTTGAAGCTGTTGTTTCCTTCAAAATAAAATTCAAGCACACAGATGTAAGAGCACGAATAATGCCATCAGAACTTTGGCATTGATTTCTAAAGTAAGAGGTAGTAACTATACCTATTATACTGGGATGAGCAAGCTGCATTTAATTCTTTATGTTTTTGTTGCTCTTTTTCAGGATAATAGTTCTGTCAATTTTGAGTTGGCAAATATCTCTCAGTTTGTAGACCTTATTCCCTTCCGCCTTCGGTCTCTATCAAAGAAGATGGAGGATCTTACTTCAGAAGAAAATGATGCTGACTTTCGGAACTGCACCATTATTCAGTGCCAAATAGGTAACATTTTTGAGTGATAGGGGAAAGGGGCGAGGAGAAAAAGATTTGGTCATGTTCCCACTTGCACCTAACCATGGCTCGTTCATGTCCTCCAACATTTTTATCTGCTGTGTCCCATGTCCCATTCAGCTCATTGTTGTTGTTGTTGTTTAGTCGTTAAGTCGTGTCCGACTCTTCGTGACCCCATGAACCATATTGCGCCAGGCCTTCCTGTCCTTCACTGCCTCCCTGAGTTTG